GTGTGTGTGTGTGTTATCCGAGAGAAAAAAAAAACATTGAGGGTGTGTGTGTGTGTGGCACACAGTTTTGTATGAAACCATGGTTTTGTGTGTGTGTGTGTGTGTGTGTGTGTGTGTATGTGTGTTATCTGAGAGAAAAAGAAAAAAACTTTGAGGGTGTGTGTGTGTGGCACACGATTTTGTATGAAAGATTTGGAAGTGACTTTGCTCAGAAGAACCAAATATTCTGTCAGAGAAGAACCAAAAAATATGCTTACTTTATCTTCTTCTCCACGTGAAGACCAAATTCTGTCAGAGAAGAACCAAAAATGCAATGTATAAAGTGTAAAATATTGTACTAATTCATTATATATAAATGATTATGGTGTGTTTAGACTTCTTTCATTAATTACTACATATTTTCTACGCTCACAATGTTTGTCAGCTCGCTATATAATCAACTTGATAATGTTAAATCCATCATGCAATGCATTTCCTTCCAATTTTTTGTGATAAACTAATAGATAATTGACTAAATAAACATCCTGCAAAGTTTCAATAAAAATTTCCCAAGTTTTTCTTACAATTTCCGTGGTTTCCATGTAATTTTTATCGATATCGATATTATCCCGATATTTACATCGATATTTCCGTGTTTTCGGACTACCGATATTTCCGATATTACCGATATTTTCTTCCTTGGTAATAATACATGCAAAATAATTTACCTACAAAATAAATGAATGTTGATTGATTGCAAACAACACATAATAATAACAAATGTGCCTAGTATATGTAATAATACATGCAAAATAATTTACCTACAAAATTAAAGGATGTTTTTAGCCAATTGATTCAAAGTTAATTAATTACCTATATTCTACTTAAAAATATAGGTAATTTATTTCACACAGATATAATAATAACAAAATGTGCCTAATGTATACATGCAAAATAATTTACCTACAATGATTGTCAAACAAATATAAGAAATGGAACAGATGATGGTGAGACAAGTATAAAGTGGATACTTTTGTAATTTACCTACTGAATAAATGAATGTTGATTGATTGCAAACAACACATAATAATAACAAATGTGCCTAGTATATGTAATAATACATGCAAAATTATTTACCTACAAAACCAAAGGATGTTTTTAGCCAATTGATTCAAAGTTAATCAATTACCTTTATTCTACTTAAAAATATAGGTAATTTATTCCACACAAATATAATAACAACAAAATGTGAATAACGTATACATGCAAAATAATTTACCTACAATGATTGTCAAACAAAAAAAAGAAATGGAACAGATGATGGTAAGACAAGTATAAAGTAGATACTTTTGTAATAATAAAGCACCTATTTGCTATAATTATGGTGGTAATTAAATTCATCAACATAATTAGGGTGTTGTCGCACAATTGTAAATATTTTAAAAATAATAGGTATTTATTTGTTTACATGGCAATTTATTTCAAATTTAGGTTTTATTTGGATGTTTAAAACGAGATGGATTTTTGTTAAGGAAATAAGTGTTGCATGAGCTTATATCTAAAGAACCCTTATTATAATCACATTTTTGTTTGTTCACGTACAATGGTGGTCCAATGTGCCAAGGTAGAAAACACACACTAAAATCAGGGAATATGGGCGAATCAGCATGCAGTGCGATTTTTATTAGTATTTTTAAGGACCCTTTTTTCTTAGTGTTTATATCATTAATTTTGTACTCTTATACAAGTCTAATCTTTTAAGCCGAGATGTGTACAGAAAATTATATAATTCTAATATATTGCTCATAGACTCACAGTAGATGCTAGATGGGTGCCATACGCTGCAAGAGGAAAAAAATGAAGGACCTAACCCTAAACCAACCTTTGAACAAGAACAACGGCAAAGATAGACGTCAAAAACATTTTTAAACGAAGAAAAAGAATTTAAATGGAAGAAGGGAACGAGAGAGTGTCAAACAAGAAGGAAAATAAAATAAAATAAAAAGAGTCCATAACAAAGTAGCCATGTATAAAAAATAATATTAATTATAGAAATAAGGAGATTACCCTAATCAAATTCGATGAATGATATTAAGAGGGTTAGGGAGACCACATCACATTAGTATATCATCATATGCGACAAATGATGCACACAATCAACATTCAATGAGATAAATTCATTAATTGACGTGATATATACATATCACTTGCAACATTAGATGATACACAAACTTGGTAAAAAAAAAGTTGTGTCCCTTGCATTTTCCTAATACTAAATTTTTAATTGGCATCTGAAATTTAATAAGGGTCATAAGTGAAAGATAAGCAAGAAATTTTATAATCAATTAATACATAAATTTAGATATAAATAAAGCTCACATGGCATCCGAGTGAGAAAGGTAAGTAAGGAAAGTCTTTTTGAGGATATAGAAAAGGACATTTATCAAAATATTCCCATATAGATAGCTAGCTTTTAACTTTTTATAAGGGCGGGAATAATATGGTAGGTGGAGAGATTGGAAATGAGAGTGGGTGTAGCACCAGTCTAATTTTAAGAAGGATGGCAAAATACTTTTGAGGAACACAATTCAATTCGCAAAGGATTCAAGTTCGAGTACAAGAACTTGAGTTGGATAGTTGTTTCTTGCAAGATAGACGTTTATGAACTACCACATTGTTATGGAGGCGTCATTTCTATTTAAGAAATTGTTACTGCAAGTCTTTATCTTCGAGAAAAACAAGTTAGAGAAATTGTCTTTACGTTGCCTTAAATTGTAAATGAAAAAGGAAACTTTAATACTACTATAGGTCAATGGAATCTCCTTTCTGGGTTGGTTAGTTGTGAGGAAAACTCTCGTTGAATCTTTTTGATTGATCAAGAGGTACATATATACTAGTTGGTAACTCCCCTCCCATTTTACCACTTTGTGGTTAACTTGCTGTTCAGTTCATGAAATTTGATTATTATTCAATATTCAGCGTGATAAGTCACACTTTAAGCAAGCTCGAAGGTCAAAAAGGTTACACTACAAAAAATATGGGCACTATGCTCAAAAACATATTTTGCCCTATAAGGCCTAAGGGCACAAACATATGTGCCTTTAGAGCAATAGCAACAATGCAGCAACCAAAATCTTACGTGTGCCCACTATGGGAGTGCCCTTTGTTCAGTGGGCACAATACGGAGTTTTGTGCTCATGATGTTAGCACAAATAAAGGGTGTTTTGACTCCGTTCTGACAAAGTTGTCAAATTACTTTCCCATCCATGTTAGCACATTTATTGTTATTGTGCCCATTATGTCGACCATTTAAACAAAATTTAAAAACTATAAAAATCAAGAGGGGAAATGACCTACAAATTTGCATAAGGGTAATTTTATTTAGACCCAACCAAACTCTTTCTACATCCAGCTACAAAAAAAACTTTTTTTGCAATTCCTATTTTACCCCTTATACAAACTAAAATAAGAAAATTAAAATTAGTACCCACATGCAGTGCCACCACTCAACCACCACTCCAGACTTCCCTCTCCCTTCTCTTGCATATAAAAGTTAGGCAGGACTGCAAAATCAATCATCGCCTTCAACAACCCGAAACCAATACAAAATCCATTTGACTCCATTTTGAACTTCTGCAACAAGTCGCTTACAGAGTCGACAATGCCACTTAGTTCTGCTTAGGCACTAGGCATTAGGGCCCAGCTCGCCGCCTGACTAAAGCCTAACGTCTTTTAGGACATTTCTCATTATACATTTACGTAAGGGAACGATCCTATAAGTGATACTTATATCCTCCTTCAAATAATACGATTAGTGCACAAATCCTCATTTGAATATTCTGAATAGTCCAAATCTTCTCAATAAAATAAGATTACTTGGTTGAATGAAATGTCAACTAACCTCTTGCAAACCCTGGACTGAGACCTTGAATGATTGCCTGGTGAGGAAGCTGAAGGGCTAAAAGCTTTGTTCTGTGCAGAGTTGAAGAAGAAATGTGACTTTTACTGTTACGGTTCTCGTAACAATACAGGAAGGAGGATGGTGATGGATAACTACTACAATCTTGGTGAGCGTGGGGAATCAATTGATCTATATATTTTGGTAGTTCGTTCCAATTTTTTTCCTTTCCTTTCCAGTTATTGCTTCTATTTTGAATGATTAACTCTTGGTTGACTCTAGATAACAATGTAACGTGGTTTGAAGAACCTCCTTGATGTAATTTTTTACATGCTATTTTTCTCTTCAACTGAGTTGAAATCTCTTGTTAGCACCCTATCCTTACTAGTTGTACATATTCCTTCATTGTCAAAGAATATCGTACTTTAACTCCAAAAAATAAATAAATAAATAAATAAACTCTTGGTTGCTCCAATAAGTAACCACTTTCTATAGAACACTGCACCTACATAAGTCATATAGTAAGCTATAGGATAAATTAGGTTCTCATTCCTCTTTTTTTTTTTTTTTTTTTTTTTTTTTGATCAAGGCTAGGTGCATTATTGAATATTAAATGACATGTAAGCATATTTCAATTTTAAAGTTAAATACTAATTTATTCATTTCTAAATATATCCTTGTATTATTTTCCGTAAAATGTCTTCCCACAATTTTATTTAAGAAAATAAATACTAAATGGATAGATAACAAATTGTTGTAGCATAATCACAAATTGATCAATTCTCATTGTCTGGCTTACAAGCATCAATAGTTATATAAAAACGTTCGTTCATTTGTAAATTGACGCTACCGTAGTTCAATATCTAGCATGCACTACTACAAAATTATCTATAACTGGCGGTCCAAAAACCGACAAAAAACGTATATTACTGTCAGATTTTAAGCAAAATCCGACAAACAATGGATGCAGTGGCCGATATAATAAGCGATAGAATTGTCAGCCTCAGGAAATGAATTTTCCGACATAAAATACTCTAAAACCGACAAAGAATATATTAATAATAAATAAATATGAGCATTTCTGTCGGATATAACCGACAGAAAATTTATTAATAAGAATAAATAAAAGCATTATTGTCGGATAAAACCGACAGAAAATTTATTAATAATAAAAAAAGTATAAACCACTTTCTGCATTTTTCATATCCTTCTATATTATCCGACAGAAAATTTATTAATAATAAAAAAAGTATAAACCACTTTCTGCATTTTTCATATCCTTCTATATTCACTACATTCACAGATAGGAATCTATCAATATACATAACGGAGAGGAAAAGAGTGTCAGAAAGGAGTTTATATTCCTCTGCAACATTAACCAACCAGTCCATTAAGACTCCTCTCATATTGGCAGTATTGAATCTTTGTCATGTAATCGGGTGAAAGTCATGGATATAAGTCAACAATCTGTGATTTATATATATATGCTAATAAACAATAAATGCAAATATAAAAATTTAACAGAGTATCAATAAACAAAAATATAAAACAAACAACTTGAAGATCGAGGCTTGCGTACCGCAATGTCATTGAAACAAAATTTCGTCCCTACTTAGTGCTTATAGTTCTACGGACATCTGCTTCACCAGGATTCAACGATCTAAGTTAGAATTCCAGCACTGGAAAACTTAACTTCTGGTGAATTTCCTTGTGGTACTCTCAGTAAGAATGCTATGGATTATAGAAGGAGATTTTTGTTTTTCTGTATCCTAAATGCCATGCAGACGGATGTATATATAGAGGAATTATACCTGTTCGCAACAGGTATAAAAATGAGATGTGACTATTGGGAGACATCTCTTCAGATAGGGTGCAATGCTTTCTGCGTTTTTATTGACTTCAGACTTCTTCTGAAAAGATGAGTCTGTTCAAATAAAAATTAATTTAATTTAATTCGAAATTAATTAAAAATAATTAATTAAAGAATTTAATTTTCAAGGTCCATCTTTTGATAATTAATTAATTATATATATATATATATATTAATTATAATTAATTACCAATTAATTAGTGTACCCTAAAGCCCAACCTCAAGGGTGAGCCCAACCCCAAGGGTGAGCCCAATTGTATTCTCTAGGCCTATTACTCCAATCACTTTCTACTCAAACTACTCAAATTTCCAACAATACCCCACATTTGAGTTGAAATTTCATTCAAACTCCATCAATTACCCCACATTTGAATGCAAATGTAAATGCAAATGGATGACTAGGCTGCCTAAAACTGAGAGAGAATAGACATGATATGCATTGAGTGAAGTGTCTTTTGAACTTGAACTTACCCTAGTGAAAACATATCAGGTTTACTTGGTGACGCAATGGATATGGAAGATCTTCAACTGTCCAACTGCAGTAGTAAACCGAGACAATATGTACACACATATCATGTCTGCCACACGTAAATTCATACGGTTGTGTTCATTTTGGCCCTAAACAGATCCCGGATTTCGTAGGAGCTTTAGAGAATTTAGCCATGTCAATTCTCATAAATGTGGCCCCATTTACTCCTATATAGGTGACATTAATTTAGAATAGTCTATCATATTCCTCTTAATAACAAGATATTACTGACATTAATTTAGAATTAGTGCATTCTAAGGCCCATCTTTTGATAATTAATTATATATATATATATTAATTATAATTAATTATCAATTAATTAGTGCACTCCAAAGCCCAACTCTAAGGGTGAGCACAATTTTATTCTCCAGGTTTATTATACCAATCACTTTCTATAAAGGACAAAGCCTTGTAAAGTGATAAAATCTTTTGGAAATGGCGGCACAAAGAAATTTTTACTCAAACTACTTAAATTTCCACCAGAAGGTCTTTGATCTTCATCCGCCTGAATGGTAACCCATCATCACCATTAGCCCAGATGCCCCAAAACCCAAAATAACCCCCAAATTCGAATTCAAACCAAAACAAAATACAGAGACTACGAGACTTGCTAAATTAGCGTCAAACTTTTTGCTAATCAAAAGTTGCATAAACTATCACCAGAAAGCCTCAGCCTTTATCCTTAATTCAAATTTCAGAGTAACCAGAAGAACCGCTAGTAAATTGAAAGCCAAAACATTAACAAAACCCACCTCCAATTTTCCATTAAATTCCACTTCAAACCAATACCAGACTACAGATACTCCAGAAGTTCCTATATATAGCTTAATCTTTGGCTACTAAAAAATGACATAAACTAATCACCAGAAAGCTTTAGCCTTTATCCCTAATTCAAATTTCAATGCAACCAGAACCCATAGATAAATTAAGAACCCAAAAATCAACAAAACCCAGCTCCCATTTTTCCAATAAATTCTAATTTAAAAAAGAAAGCTGCAATTCGATAACCCTTTACCTCGAGCTTCTGAAGATACTCATAAATGTCACGAGCATACGGTGCGCACATTTGGGGGTCATCCGACACTGCATCAACGTCGTTGGCCGCCTCCGGCTGCTGTATCGTTTTGGTCAGGGGCACTGCTTTCTTCGCCTTGCCTTTGGCGCCGGGTTTCTGGATTTGCTTCTCCGCCCCGGACATTTTATTCGTCAGAACAACGGCATTCAGGAGCTCTCCTAACACCACACGTTTTTTGGTGGACGGCTGCTCCGGGGTCACTGCAGCCTCGGGCCTCCTCTTCATCGACCTCATGACGCGCAAGCAGTTCTCCTTGTCCGCCATGGCTGGCGCTGTTTGAATTCCCGAGGTTCTGAGAGAGAGAGAGAGAGAGAGAGAGGGTTTTGGGGGTGAATGTGAGGGAGGAGAGAGAGTTTTGTAGTGAGTAAAATGAGAGTGTCATTTTATTCTGGAAAATTTCATTACTGTCGGTTACCGACATAAATATTTTAAAAATATAAAATAGACAAAAACATTTTCATTACTGTCGGTTATAACCGACAACATTTCTTCCCAAAATTTTAGTTCCCCCCCAAATTTTGTTACGATTTAAAAAAAATAAAATAATAATTGTTTGGTTTAATAAATAATATGTATTTAAATAGAATACATTTTTAAAAATTAAATAAATAATTATTTGGTTTAATAAATAATAACCCATGTAAAATATGCAATAAAGAAATAAAAAGATAATTGTACAATGAAAATGTCATCACACAGACTAAATATTGTCTAATCAATAGTTTAAAAACATAAATAAAAATTTAGCACAAATTACTTTTCCCACTTAAAAATTTAGGCAAATTTAACGGAGATATGCATTCTATAAAACTAGTTTCAATGAACGAACCATCAAACTTGTTTGTAGATACTATAAGATCGCATACGTAAAAAATCGTAAAAAACAAACATTCAAAGATTACATAACGGAACAAAAAATTTCGACGGTTATAAACGAAAAATCACAATTTAACGGTTATTTTAGCTCCAATTTTAATGATTTTTTTACAGCTACACTGTAACATCCCACATCGCCCAGGGGAGTGATCCTTAAATCTATATTCACATCCCTACCTAGCACGAGGCCTTTTGGGAGCTCACTGGCTTCGGGTTCGGTAGGAACTCCGAAATTAAGTGAGAAGAAGGCCAGAGCATTCCCAGGATGGGTGACCCACTGGGAAGTTGCTCTTGAGTTCCCAAAAACAAAACCGTGAGAGAATGGTAAGCCCAAAACGGACAATATTGTGCTACGGTGGTGAAGCGGGCTCGGGATGTGGTGCACCCCGGGTCGGGATGTGACAAATGGTATCAGAGCCAATCCCTGCCCGGAAGTGTGCCGACGAGGATGTCGGTCCCCTAAGGGGAGTGGATTGTAACATCCCACATCGCCCAGGGGAGTGATCTTTAAATGTATATTCACATCCCTACCTAGCACGAGGCCTTTTGGGAGCTCGCTGGCTTCGGGTTCGGTAGGAACTTCAAAGTTAAGCGAGAAGAAGGCCAGAACATTCCTAGGATGGGTGACCCACTGGGAAGTTGCTCGTGAGTTCCCGAAAACAAAACCATGAAGGAATGGTAAGCCCAAAACAGACAATATCGTGCTACGGTGGTGGAGCGGGCTCGAGATGTGGTGCACATCTGGTCGGGATGTGACATACACACCTCGACCCTATAAGAATGCAATGAATAAATTTGATCTTCAATTTAAAATATTTACACTGGTGGATACCACAAGTCTTACTTTATACTTGATGGAAGTATAATATTAACTCTAAGTGTTTGTTTAATCTACCATTTTGACGCGATATTCATTCTACGAAACTTTTTTCAACGATCTAACCGTCAAACTTATTTGTACACACTCCAAGATTGCATACGTAAAAAATTGTAAAAAACAAACATTCAGAGATTACGTAACGGAACAAAAGTTTTCGACGGTTATAAATGAAAAATCACAATTTAACGGTTATTTTAGCTCCGATTTTAATGAGTTGTTATAGCTACACTCCTTGACCCTATAAGAATGTAATGAATAAATTTGATCTTCAATTTTAAAATATTGACACTAGTGACTTAATGGAAGTATAACATTAATGGCGCGTTTACTAATCCGAAATCAAATTGAGAGGAAATGAATTGAGGAGGAATTGGATTGAGGAGGAAATGAAATGAGGCAAAATTAGAATTGGATTCCTGTTGAAGTTGTTTACTAAAACTGTCTGGAATCGGAATAGAATTCCATAAAGTTGTTTACTAATTCAACAAAATCGGAATATAAACCAGTATGATTACTAAAATGCCTTTGTCCCAAGTAATGTAAATACTAAATTGCCCATATTCCAAGTATATGGTTTTTATATTTTTGATAATTTTTTTTTTTAAAAAAAACTTTGTGAAAAAGCTTTAAAAAGAATTTGTACGGTTTATCATTTTTTTTTTGAAATGTAAAAAAGATATTTATTTAGTTAATATTAAAAAAACCAACTGAGATCCTCCTTGCTCTGCTTCCCCATCCCATAATTATTTTTCTTTCTCCTGGAGCCCAAACTGCACCCCATCGCCCAATTCTTTTCAGCGATCCCCCAAATCTTTTTAGCCTCCCATTCTTCTGATCATCCTTTCTTCTTCTTGCTCCCTTTTGATTCTTTTTCTTATTCTCTTCTGATTCTTCTTCTTGTGATTCTTCTTCTACATCCGCCAATTGTTTTTTCTTTCTCGTGAAGGCCGCACCGCACCCCACCCTATTCCCCAATTCTTTTCAGCTTCTCCATTTTTTTTTTCCATCTTCTTCTTCTTCCCTTCTGATTTTTCACCTCCTGATTTTTCTTCTCCTTTGATATTGGTCATTGCCTGCAGAGACACAGAGAAGCAGAGAAGGAGATGGAAGGGAGACGAGATAAGGGTATTTTGGGTAGAAAAATGGGATTCCAGATAGAGGCTTTCACCCGGAATTCAAATACCACCTATTGTTTAGGAGACCGGTTCCGGGTAAATTGGGAGTCTGATTCCCCATATTAGATGGGTCCCACATACATTTCATTCCCTCAAGTGTTGGTAAACACTTGAATAACCGAGGAGGAGTGCAATTCCCATTCCTCTTGTCCCACTCCCCTTACGTAAACGTGCCATAACTCTTAAGTGCTTATTTAATCTACCATTTTGACGCGATACACATTCTACGAAACTTTTTTCAATAATCTAACCGTCAAACTTGTTTGTACACACTCCGAGATCGCATACTAAAAAATCACAAAAAAATAAACATTCAGAGATTAGGTAACAGAACAAAAGTTTTCGACGGTTATAAATGAAAAATCACAAATTAATGGTTATTTTAGCTTCGATTTTGATGATTTTTTACAGCTATACTCCTTGACCCTATAAGAATGCAATGAATGAATTTGATCTTCAATTTAAAATATTTACACTAGTGGATACTTATTGGAAGTATAACATTAACTCTTAAGTGTTTGTTAAATCTATCAATTTGATAGGATATGCATTCTACGAAACTAGTTTCAACGATCTAACCGTCAAATATGTTTGTATATACTCCGAGATAGCATGTGTAAAAAAATGCATAAAAAAAAACATACAGAGATTATTCTAGCGGCCATCCAAAATTTTGCTTTGTTCATGTCGGTTATATCCGACAGGGCCATGAGTGAAAAAAAAATGTTTAAAACATGTGTTTATTTATTTATTTTTAATCAATATAACATTTTAAAACAATAAAATCAGACATGATAGAGTACACTAGATGTTCATGTGTGTTTATGTGCCAGACAATGTGCTTTGTGACGCATTGAAAAAAATTGTTTGAATTTCTTTGTATCTTGTTGCTTGCCTGTGAGGGAGCATAATCCTTATTACAAAAATCATAGAGCTTTAGATTGTAGTCTGTTGTTATTATTCTCTTAGAAAATTTATGGCTCGTGGCAATTGGGTTCATTAGACTTTAGGGTCATGAGTGAAATTTTTTTTTTAATATGTGTTTATTTATTTATTTTTAATCAATATAACATATTAAAATAATAAAATTTTCATTTATGTCGGTTATAACTGCCAGAATACTAAAATAATAACTGCCAGTGACACACCCCGTCCCGAAGGAGGGCATGCTGGCCGTCACGTGAGAGTGACGTAACCATTTGCACAGTACGGAAGCTTTAAGATACAATTTATAAGTTGATACACCCGAAGGTGAGTCCTAATTTTGTCCATTCTGTCAGAACACCGTCGAATTCCTCGTAGTCACCACACCTTTGTGATTCCTGAACCTGGAGGGGCGCAAAACCAAAATTGAGTGGGTCAGTAAAACAATTCTTTTCCAAATCCAAACATTTCTCAAAACGTTGTAACCCCTCTCCGTAAAACCTGTATACTTTCCCAGAAATGTAAAATATAAATATACATATATATTCTCAAAACTTCATTTTTACTATCTCAACATTTTTCTTTATCAATCATGCCATGCCATGTCTAATTCAACAGTTAAGTATGGATGCATCAACAAATAATCATATCAGGTGCAAGAAAGTAATCAACCGGAGGCCCTCTAATAGCCCTGTACGGTTGAACCTAGAGCTCAAAATCTATCACTCTCACTCTGCCGGAGTCACCTCTGTGACCTGTCCGGCCTTCTGCACACAAGTTACGCTCTAGTGCTTTCTCTCATCAATCATCTGTGCACATAATCTAAGGTCACCCACCAGTCGAAATCTCACTAACACTCTTCGACTGGCCCGTCGCACCCACTCCGCGTGGACTGTGCGACCAGCATCTACTTGGATCCAAGGCGAGCGTGCGATGCGGTGAATACTATAAGCACTAAACCAAGGTGCAGGATTTGAGCTCAATATACATCAACATCATCATAACAGTAATTAAATACTCACCTGATACTCACCTGTGCGTCCGCCGCACCATTCATTCATATGCATCATATATCTCAAATCATACTTTTCATATCATTTCATGCATGGCAATTCAATTTACATTTCCATATATATTTCATATACTTCTATGCATGATCTTTCAATTCACGTTTTCATATCATTCTATACCTTTCATTTAAAACATATTTCATTCTAATTCAATTTCTGGGAAAGCGTCAAGTATATATATATATACGGAAAACAAAACTGCCCACTCACAGATTACATCGACGTCTCGTAGGTCCCTGAGCATCATTTGGCCATGCCCGATGTCCGTATAATCCTCGCCTATACGAGAAGTAACCAAATTGACGTTATTTAACGCATAATCCCACTCTTAGCTAATAACTCCTCATATATTGCTCAAATTGCGTATATGAATATACCACTGTGACCTACACAACCTCAGGATCATCCCCATATTTTTAAAATAATTTTT